ACTTTCTCATTTATTCCAATACACCCTTTCGTAACTCGTGGAAACGACCCACCCCGCCCTTCCCCTCGCCCCTCTTCTACCCCAGATCCGTTCTCTCCCAGCCTTTTTTTTTCTATTTCAGATGCGCTCCACACTACACGCTGCGTGATGACTTGCCGTTAGCAAGTTGATCGTTATGAGTTATCGTTATCGTGTAGCTTCAACCCCGCCTTTTTTATATTCTAGATCCGCTCCCTCACCCGCCGTTGTTTCTATCTTAGATTCGCCCCTTTTGTTCTTCTATGAAGGATTCTCGCCCCCTTCGTTATTCTATCCAGGATCCGCTAGGGTCTGCTAGGTTCTTCTATCATAGATTCGTCTCTTCCGCTCTCCTATGAAGGATCCATCCCTTAATCTTTCTCTTTCTTCACTTCGGGATTTGCACTCCGCGATACTGCCCCGTGACTACATTTGCGTTCGTGGCTCCATCTACAGCCAACTATAGGAAGCTGTAGAAGTAGGCTGTCAATTTTTTTTTACTGCAGAGTTTTACACGTGCCAGCCTGGGCCCCGTAGTCAGAAACTGAATTAGCATTCTTAGCATTAGTCTCAACGTTAACTTGGACGACTTTGTCGATACTAAGCGTGGTAAAGTTACCACTATCACGTACTCCGCACATAGAGGTCCGATCTATGCGAAAAAAAGTTCATGTTAGGACTAATTTTGTTTCTGACAACGGGACTGCTTATTAGAAGCATCGTAGGGGGCACTGCAATCGTCTAGACTGCCACCACGTAGATAGACATACGTTGTTATTTAAGTATAGGTGGCACTGCAGCGCAAGGAGATCTAGAGCCGTATATAGAGATCTCTATATATCTCTAGAGATCTCTATATATACGGTTCTGAGGAGATCGCGTCTAGCCCATCCACGATTCATTAACCGAAACCGACACCAGATGGCGCTGTGCCGCTTACAATATGTATAAAGGTTACCGATCAATTACTTTATAAAATCATTATAATTTTTTCCTTTATATCAAATTATTTATTAATTGCTAAAAAAAAAGTTTAAAATTATTAATTAAAATTATTAAATTAATAAAATTGTGGTGAGCGTGTAATTTGATAATAAATCATGGATCAACGCAAATTACGTGCTGGTGTTGGTTTCGGATGGTATCTGAAGGAATGGTGGATCGGGTAAGATCAGTGCTTCTTAAACTATTTCAGTGTTATTCACCTTTGAGTCTTTATCACAAAATTTCATTCACCCGCAACTAAATTTTCTTATGATTTTGGTAATTTTCGTCTACGTTTCATTCGCCCCCGAAATAATTACATTCACCCTTGGGTGAACCATTCACCAGTTTAAGAAGCACTGAGTTAGATGTATGTTGTGAATGTTTAGAATTGTTGAAATGAATTAGACGATCTAAGGTGAATGTCTATCATCTGATTCATTCATTCTTTATTATCTGAAATGTTTCTGACGAAGTGTCTTTTCTTGCAAACCGGATATGTAACTGCAATCTGTCTCTTTTATACGTTGTGTTGACAATATTTCCAGCAACTACTCAATGTTTTTTCTGACATATTTGCAGTTTTAAGTATTTCGTGTGTAGTTGAGAGTTTTTCACGTGTGCGTTGTTGGCATCCGTCTGTCTTTCTCTTTTGCATCAGCTCTTTAATTACTCTAATTATTAATCTATAACTACGATCTATATTTACGCTGCCG